AAGTAATATGGAGCCATTTTGAATTTATGAAGCTTAAATGCACCTGTATAACCTTTTAAAAACTAATTTATACGAAATAGTCTTTTAAAGCTTTTTCTGGAAGCTACTGTTTTGAATTTCAGAAAAAAGCATTTCAGCTGCATTTTTTAATACTGTAAGAATAAATGATTTTGAAAGTGAAATGCTTTCACTTTTTCTTTAAATAGAATTAATTTTGGTGTTTCACCTATCAAACTGTTCAAAAAATTCCTGCATTTACACTTCAAAAGAGATTCTCTTCTACCATTCAAACAAAATCAATTATTCTAAACTTTTATAATATTATTCCCAAACACAAATCAATTTTTTAATATCAATTCTTCAAAAATTAATTTTTATAAAATATAGGCTAAGCAGGCCTTGAAAGGTGCAATGTCAATGATAGGATTTAAAACATAAAAAGGGTCCGCAATAAGAGAAGGTTACCTTTTTGATGGATGAATCTTGAAAAAACTCAGCAAACTTATTAAAGATCTCTTTACCTCCACCGTCAAGTACATCTACCCAAATACATGACTTTCCACCTCCAAAATCAGCTTCTGGACCCGAATAAATACTGAAGCATATTATCTCCCCATGATCTACAGGTGTTTCTTGTTTGACATCTATCTTGGCCACCTTTGACGACATTAAAAGTTGGTATATTACATTTCAACATTTATGAAATATCCATGATGAGATTCATACTAATACATTAGCTAATATGCACTCAATTGAAGAAATGGCTTAAGAATACAATATATCACTTCAATGAGTATGATTTATAAAGGACAAATTCACTGAACTTGACAAGAATCCAGATATGAACACTGCTGCAATCAAGGAAAAACCATAATATACGCTAAAAAAGACAAGAGCTGTACCTCAGTATCACATGCATGAATAAGATGCCTGTAATTTACTGTAAGCATCTTAGCAACTTCCTCAGCAAGAGAAATATTATTAACAACCAATATGTCTTCATAGATACTACAAAGTCTGCCTCGAAGTTTTAATTGTTCAGAACTACGTGCCTTTTTAACAGATGTTGCATTGGCTTCATACTTTGCAATTGTCTCCAAATTGCATTTGTCTTCAACTTTATCAACCTTCTCCTTAAGGATCTTTGATGGAGGTACCTTTAACAGAGTGTCCACCCTTTTGGTGTCAAGCAACTCTTTTGAGTTCTTTAATTTAGAATGTTTAACAGAAGGCAAGGCAGGTTCATCAAGATCCTGCTGCACATGAGTGTGCTTCACACTACTAGAAACAGCCTGTTCCTGACCAGTGGAAGTAACTGCATTCGGCGCAACCCTGTTATTCTGCAAGTGCATTTCGTTTTTACTTTTAGATAATTTATAACATTCCTCAACCCAGTATTGTTTACCAAGGGTCATGGGAGATCGAGTTAATCCCATAATCTTAACCTGACTATTAGAGGGATGTAAAGGAACCAACTCTTCTTCACATCTCCTTTCCTCCAACATGCCATATGACATGTCAGAAAATTTCTTAACTGAAATATGTACAGGAGATTTATGGCTATACTCCACGTCCTTAAATTTATTCAACCCAAAAGGTGTTCTCTTTAGGCAGGAATAACCTTTTCTGAAAGACAATGCACTATGTCGAATGATATTGTTGGCAATCAGAATTGATTGGATTTTTCTTCTGCAAGTCATATCATGCACAGAAAATTAAAAGAAAAAAATAAAAGGAACCAATCAAAGGAATATAAAGGCATATTTAGTTTTTCAGTTTAATATGAAGAAGAAACAGCATGAGAACATTCAAGAAAAAGACCCCACAGGTGTGAGCTAAAACAATTCATATTTTGACTTCTGAAATGTCACAATTAATATTAGAAAATTTCCATTTTCCTGTATATCATATGTGGCAACGTACTCCACATTTGCATATAGTTAATCCCAGGATCATATGCTGTTGCCAGCTTTTATGTGAGATTGTAACAAACCAGGAAGGTTCAAAAACCTTTCCATTATGGAAGTCAACAACTAACACAAACAATATCATATGCAGTTGCCAGCTTTTATGTGAGATTGTGTATCAAACAAGGAAGGTACAAGAATCTTTCCACTATAGAAGTCAACAACTAACACGAACAATTTTAGCTTAGTCTTTGTTTGATCCGTAATGCAAGACATATTATTCCAAATAAAAAAGTGTAGAGAAGAGAAAACAATTTGAAGTCCATAGAACCTTGATATCAGTTACCCTTTACGATTTAGACC